GACAGGGAGAAAGTGTTAGCCTCATTCCCATCACCCAGTTCTCACTCTGCTGCTTCTCACTGATAGAAGCGACAGTTGGAAGGAAGGAATCTGCAAATGCAAAGTTTTAGCTCTTCAGCCTCTGTGCAGAGATATAGAAGAAAGCAGAAGAGAGGCTAAGGAGCCTCTAACACCGTCACTCAGAACAGGGCACTGGTTGTCCTAGTCTTGAGATGATCAGGATTCTGTGTCCATTTGTTTTTCTGAAACTCAGAGATGTAGTGATGTGTGCTGTAGGCTGAATTGTGACCTCTAAACATATGCTCACATCTTACTGTCCAGTACTTGTGACTGTGACCTTATTGGAAATAAGGTACCAACTTAGTTAAGATGAAGTCGTATAGGGTTAGGGTGGACCCTAAAACAATGACTGATGCCTTTGGAAGAGGAGAGAGAGACAGAGACACCCGAGGAAGACAGCCATGTGAAGGTGATGGCAGAGATCTGAATGAGTGCTGAGCCTGTGTGTGAACCATTTCCTGCACTGGCCATCAATGTACAGCTACCACAGGGGACCCAAGATGATCTGACCCAACCCTCACATTTCCCCATTTAGATTTTCCATCCTTGGGGACAAGTCTCTATCTCAGGAGTAGTTCATTGGTGACCTTGCTGGCCGGGCTCTACTAGGACAATACTTTGAAAACCACTTAGAAAATCCAGCTCAAATCCTGTGTGGGCAGCAGCATGTCAGCGGAAGAAGGTTTTCTTATGGTGAGGCCAGAAAGAGGGGACGTATACCAACATTGCCTTGATACTCAGGATGTCTTTATTATCTTTTGTAAGTGTGTTAGCTTTGTGACTTGAATTTTGGGGATTAAATATTTGTCATGACATTATTATTAAGTATTAATGTCATGACATTATTATTAAGTATTAAGTAAACTACTGACTTGGGCTTAGAGAAAAGACAAAATATGTGTTTTTTGGACAAATTTAAGTATAGAGTTCTCAAAAATGGCTCCTTTTGCATTAAAAAGATTTGGAGAGCTTAAAAAAAAAAGAAAAATGTTCAGGACCACTCAGATTAGCAATGGCATTAGACTTTCAGAGAAACATAGACTCTACTGTGAATGTGCATGGGAGAATATCTAGGTTACAGTTCCTTACGAGAAGGTAATGCCTGAAGTGGAGCTGAGGTGGTGATGCTAGCACTGGGTGACTGCAAATACCGATTCATGTTAACACAAAAGGTCAACTGTATGGATACCATAATAAATCAATTGCTAGCATACTCCTATCAGAACTCTATCAGTGAGTGGCAGATAACAAAGCTGCATCTGGTGGCAGCTTTAAGTTGGATTTTGACACCTATTTTCTTCCATAGGTGGCTTGCCATTATTTTATTGACCATTTCTGTCTGTGCCTCTTTCCCACACTGCACACTGCCTCAGTCCAAGTCTTGGAAAGTCCATAGCTAACTCTTGCCAAAATGGGTAAAAAGCAAATATCACTGGAGGGCTTCTCTTCAAAGGGACAAAGACCTAGTGATGAGGCTGTAAAAGACTCTCAGAGGCCAAGAAAGAGAAAGGTGCACTTAAGAGAAAACACCTAGAGTCCTGTTTAAAGTGCTCAATAGGTGATTCACATTCTCCAAGCCTGCTTTATGCAGCCATAGGAAAACAAGCTCAGTGCTCCCACTGATCCGTGTTGTGGTGAGTTGTATAATTATTTCATTAGCAACTGCAATACTATAATAATAGAAATAAAGTACGTAATAAATGTAATGTGCTTAAATTATCCCAAACCTACTGCACAGTGATTTATGGAAAAATTGTTTCCCACAAAACTGGTGTTTGGTGCTGAAAAGGTAAGAAAGTTGGAGGCTGCTGCTTTAGGCAACAGTTGTGTGAAGCCCTTGATGTTAATAGCTATAGAAGCATTTTTTAAAAGGTGGGAAGTCCAGACTGGTTGTGGTGGCACACACTTGTAATACTCACATTCAGGAGGCTGAGGCAGGAGGATCACTGCAAGTTCAAGACCAGCCTGGGTGACAAAGCCTACTTTGTTGCATATTTGAAGTGTAAATCCTTTTTTTTTTTCTCTTGTCTTTTCCAGACAGGGTCTCACTATGCAGTTCAGGCTGGTCTCAAACTTGCAACCATCCTCTTGCCTGATTCTTCAGAGCACTGGGATTATAGGTGTGCATCAACACACCTGGCTTTTTTCTCTCTTTTTTTAAAGAAGTGAAATCATTTGCTGTTTGTCTTTTGGTACCAACAGAAAATAGTGGGATATTAAATTATGGGAGACTTTGACTATCTTGGATGTCAGCTAGGGCATTAGTTTTCCATTCTACAATACAAAGCATACTAAAAGAGTACACTAATTTAAAGTCATACATGTATGATGCCTTGATTTTTGTAGAATTATTTCCTAAAGAAAACCTTCCTGTCAGAATTGTGCATACTTTGTAATGTTTTTGGTCATGGTAGTCCAGTTACCTATTTGTGAATATGCCATGAAAAATAAAAAATTCAAGTATGGAAAAAAATTTAAGTGTGTAGTGTGTATGATGTAGAATTATAAATTGGTGGGACTTCAGTGGTCCTTGAAAATATTGGTACTCAGGGATGCTCAGTGGCATAAGCGCCTGCCTTGCAAGCACGTGGTTGTGAGTTTGATCCCCGATACCGATAAAAAAAAAAAAAGAAAATATTGGTGTTTGATCATTCTTTAAAAGAAAACTAGTCTAAACTTGAGGCTGAAGGTCACTGGGATAAACCATTTGAAAAAGAACCCCAGTGCATGTCTTTTTAGTTTGTTGGTGGGTGTATTAAGAATTGTGTGCAAAGTAAAATTTCTATAGTGATCCTCATATAACCAATATGGTCTCAATTGTGGAAAAATGTTTTGAAAAGGAAAAAAGCAATTCTGTACTGTGGGATGTGGGACTTAAAGTGGCCCCAGGACAGGGAATCCATGCAGTTCAAAAGAGCAAATTGATTACTATATGTGTGGTTTCAAGTGTCAACATCTAATTGGGAGAGGCACAGAAGTCAGGACACAGTTAATAGGTGTGCTCTGAGAAATGGCTCCCAGCTAGCCAGGCACTTAGAATTCATCCTTGAGGGATGAATTGTGCAGCAGTAGGTGCAAAATATATTTAGCTGTGTCTTTTGGGTGGAAAAGCTTACTGTCAAGATAAGTCAGGGTTAATATGTAATTGCTCTGAATTGCCTAAGTTAAATTTAGTTAAACTGGTAATACTGACTTTGGTTAAAATGAAATATTTGCCACAACTGTCATATCAGGTTAAGAAACACTTGCTTCCTTTTGGGAGGCATCTGATGCTTTGATGGGACTATTTCACGCTGTCTTGATGCATTATGATTACACACAGCGCGGGAAACAGTCCTGAGATGTCGATATGGTCAAAAGAGGATCTGATAACGGACAGCAGGACCAGTATGTGGGCCTGGGGCCTAATGTGCCATCAGTGGTCTGCTGTCACTGCTCGAAATTCTTGATAGTTTGGCCCAAGGGGCTGCATTTCATCTGGAGTGCAGGAGACACTTTGCAGGTCCTGGTGGGCAAGAGTCCCCATCGGGGCGAGCACAGGCTCGGATGTCAGGAAGCTCTGCTCATAAGTGAAGGGAACCTAACCGGGAAGAAAGGCTTAGTGTTACCCAAAGGCAGAAGGAAGATTGCAGGGCGGGAGGGCTTGGCCCCCTGGGTCGCCTGGAGGTTTGGGTAAAAGCCACCAAGTTCAGACTCAGTGAAATAGCTCAGAACCCTGGGATTTCTTGTTTGTCCCTGCCCTTACGTAATCCTGTAGCTAATGACCACATCCTATTTATGCCACCTTCTTCCCCTGAAGGAGCGGGGGCGGGGGGTCATTCTCAAGGATGGTCTCCTGGTCAGCTGCATGGGCCATGCTATCCAGCTTGTTAGGGTTTTACGGGTGCATCCAGGTTGGCAGGGTCAACCAGGCCGATGTCAAGGACTTGGGGGCACCTGACTTTTGGGTACTCCCGCTCTTGTTTCTGGGGCTTGGTTGGGAACACCCTCTCCTCTCAGTTTTCTTGCTAAAGGAGGGCTGCATAAGAGACTGTACCCCTCCTCAGTGCCTGTGGCAACCAGCAAGGATTTGCTTGCTGGCCTTGGGGCTGGAGTGCTGAGTACCTGAGAATGCTGGAGTCACCCAATGAACAGCTGCTGAGCTGTTCACGGAAACCATGCTGTGTCTAACCAAGTGGGGTCACTGGCACCTAGGGTCAGACTAGACTGATACCAGTTTTCATAAGTAAACACAGGTGCCTCTTTGGGCCTGTTTTCCCTGGAACTCTGAGTATCTTGAGGACAGGGACTTTGTCTTCCTGGCCATGTACCCCTGGCCAGGTGCACCATGGGGTTTGCTTACAGAAAGGCTGGGAGCAGTGACAGAATGCAGATGCTGGAGCTGTGGAGAAGGAGGCTACTAACCACAGCCTGCAGAGAGGGTGTGGGGCCCTTGGGGCTCGTGGGGCTTCTTTCTCTGTGTGGGAGAGGTTCAGGTCCTCTTGCTGTCCCCTTGGGATGGATAGTGTTGCGGGGTGGCACTGTGGCAGCCAAGGACATGGGGCAAGTGACGAGAACTCAACAGCATAGCGGAGGGGAGGTTAGGAAGAGGTGCTTACTTTGGGATTTGTAAGTCCTAGGCAAGTGCCACAGGTGCCCACTGAATGTCACCCGCTAGGAGAAACAGGGACATGAAGTACAAGATGGCATTCAGCCTTAAGGCAGCATCAGCGACATCTTGGAGAAGAGGAGGGCAGGAACTATTTTACTGAACTATTGTGAAACCGCCTAAGACCTGCAAACCTACTCCTTCGTCCTGGCTGCATGGGTCTCAGCCCTGGTCATGGAGGTCTTTTCGTGGTGCCATGGGTGAGTGTGAGCAGCCCCACAGCCACGTATGCCTGCATGTATGTGCCTGTGGCCATGCCCACCCTGCCATCCTCCCAGAGCAGCACACAAGCTGGGTGCTGACGGTTTATTGCTTGCCCTCGGGCTCCTGGCTTCAGGCAGCAGCTGGGCCAGGCCCTTTACACGGGCCTGTAGGTGCCATCGTAGCTGAAAGGTGGAAACCTCGAGCAGTCCGTGTCTTCAGTGATCCAGTGCTGGATGTAGTTGGGACCCTTGCTGCTGGGGTGCACGATCACAGTATCTCTGGATGCCAGGGATGGGTCCTCCTTGAAGAAGTTGAAGGGCCGGAGCAAGAAGCCCACAGAGTTCCCGGGCGTGGCTGTGTTGGGTACGTCCTCTGAGTGGGGGATGTGCAGGAAGCCCACTGTCACCCAGGCCACCAAGTCCTGCAGGAGAGAGGGCAGGCTGAGTTCTGAGCACTGGAGGCCATGGAAGCTTCTAGGAATTTCCTGAGAGCCTCCCAAACCTCATTTGGATCTGTCATGACCTCTGAGTTTGGCCTTCACCCAGTATCAGGTCAGCGACAGGAACAGGTCTGGGCTGAGGCTGCTTAGGACTCTGCTGGTGTCTTAGGCCAGAGGGGGCGGGGCGGGGCCGGGCTGATACCTCATTCTCAATGTCCTCATTGTTGTGCAGAAACTTCTGGAAGACCACAGGGGGGTCCCAAGGGTCGTTCTGGTTGTAGATGCTGCTGCTGCACAGCTCTGACTCCCGGTATTTGGTCACCGCCAAAGGGTACCTGCAGGTGAAGGAAGCTGTGTAGCTTTGGGTGCAGAAGTGGCCACCCAGCTCCTACTGGGGGAATCTGTGGAGTCAGAGATACTGCTGCTTCCTTGGGGCGGAGGCAAGACCTCCCACAGCCAGTGGAGCACTGAGAGCCGCTTTCCCAGACTCATGCTCAGACACAGAGCCTCGCGACGGAAGCACAGACAGTCACATGGGACGCCAAGGAGGCAGCTGGGCCTCACCAGCCCCTGAACCCCCTCACCTGGCCCAGGTGATGGCGCGCTCCTCTGGCAAGCCTGCGGGCAGCACCTGCTCAGCCATGGAGTGGATCTGCAGGCGGTAGCCGCGCTCGTGGCCCCAGCGGTTCTTCTCACGGCTGGTGAAGAGCAGGTACTTGGGCAGAGTCTGCCCGAAGCGGAAGGCTGCCTGGCGCTCCTGGGAGTACCGGGACTGCTTGAGGGTCGGCTGGACCAGGTGGTGTCCTGGGCTCCAGGGGTTGGTGATGTTTTCTAGCTTCATCTGAAGCGTCTGGAAGCTATTCTTGGTGCCTGGAGGTACACACAATGGGATCCAAATAAATAGGGAAGGTTTAAATTAAAAAGCTTTGGACAGTAAAAGGCATATTGCCGTGAATGCCCTTCAAAATCACTGCCCTCTCTTTGAACATACTTATGCTGTCTTTCTTGTCACCCTCTGAAGCACTTCTACGTCTTTCCTTAGTGTCTTTCTGAGGTCTGATTAAAAAAATATGGCAAATACTGCTGCCCAGTGTCATCCTGTGGGAAGATAGGCGCCTGAAATCCGAACACTGTGTCCTCATCGACTCTATTCATCAGGTCTGGCACCGTGTGACTTCTGGCTCTTCCCCAAAGTCCAAATGACCATGGAAGGGAAGTGGTTTGAACTGTTTCAGGACATCAAGGCAGCCAGGACAGCAAGCTAAGACACTCATGGAAGAGGACTTACAGAGCTGCTTCAGAAAGTGGTGGGGTGGATGGGGTGAGTGTATTCAAAGTGAGGAAGATCATGGCAGTGTCTTTTCCCGTAACAATTAAAAAAAATTTAACATTGGCTGTATATTTCAGCCACACCTCAGACAGAGGAAAGGGGAATGAGAATCAAGCACTTGGAACTGAAACCTCAATCTCCTGCCTTGGGACCTCCATCCACCAGCCACAGCCATCAAGAAAGGGAGGGGTTGGGCACGTGTCCCAGACTAGAGAAGGGGCTATGGAGAGAAGGGATTATAAAAATCAGAGGAGCTGGCAGAAAGCTCATGGGTCAGGCACGGCAAAGGCAGCAACCTCAGCACGACACTGGTAGTCTCTCCAGGGCTGTGTTAACTCATTACACCCCAGGCAGGGCAGCCCAGGGCATGAGAGTCGGCGCCTGGTGCACTCTGTGCCAGCAGGTGGAAGCCACTCATCTGCTTACAGTGGCCTTGTTTTGCTGTAGGAAGTGATGCCATTCCTCTATGATGACATCAAGAGAAACACTACGCATCTTCAGGTGCATTCCAGCTCAAAGTGCTAGGCAGTGATCTCTTCCTCCACCTTTCTGTGGCATCTGGGGTGCAACTCGGGGGCTATTCAGGGGGACCCTCATCTCCAGTTTTATATTAAACAGGAGCAGGCTGGGCCAACAGGACTGATTTTGAGTCAGGCATTTTCAGCGCCCTATGATTTTCCTATGGTCTAAGCTCCCTCCCTTGCCCCTGGCCAGGTGAGAAGCAGCTGGGGTCACTGAAGTGTGAGTGACTGGTTGGGTGCAGATGTGTGACCCAGAGGCCTAGTTCTGAGTCCTACCTGCCACGTCCATGTCGACACGGTAGTGCAACAGGTGGGTGTGGATGTTCCCCAGCAGATGGGTATGCAGGCGGGTGCCGTAGCGTTGCCCCTCAGGGGTATAGAAGGTGGCATGGACATAGCCTGTGGCATGCATTTTGGCTTCCATCACCCCGTTTGGATGGAAGATGAAGTCCCAAATGTAATCGTAATTGTAGACAGTTGAGGTTGTCCGGAGCACTAGCATGTGACCCTTCAGCCCTGCGTAGAAGTTGAAGCCCCCGCTAAAGTTGGAGTCAAAGTGCCGCCGAATTGGCACGCCGGTGGGCATCTCAAAGAGGCAGAGGGCTCGGGGATAGAGGACAGGGTCATCGACATCATAGTAGTGGAAGGTGTCCAGGAAGGTGGCCGTCTCTGGGCAGTCGACGCCAGGGGCTAATTCGTGTGAGACGCTGCCCAGGCCCCAGCCCACATCTAGGTACTTGGTCTGCATGCCTGCAGGTGTGTGTCCTCCGTACAGCGCCACAGCTTCCTGTATGCTGACCTCGTATGCAATGCGCTCACCCCCAAAGTGCACGTTCAGGACCTGCAGCCCGGAGGAGGAACGCAGACGGAAAGCAAAGCTCCAGCCTCCATAGAGCACGGAATTTCCCTCCAACTGGTAGCGAGGGCCATGGGGCTGGACAAGGTGGGGGCCAGCCATGCGGCTGGAGGTGGCAAAGTCCCCGCGGGGGTTGTAGGAAGAAAATAAGGGCTCTGGGCTCTCAGTCCCATCGCCCTTGGGCAGTGGTTCCTCCAGGATTATAATGTCCACCTCTCCATCCGCATACTTCCGAGCCAGCTCTTCCGGGCTCTGGTAGAACTTCCCATTGTACCAGACCTGCTCCACTGTCCAGCGCTGGACATCCATGCTCTCATGGTCCACTAGGAGCTCCAGCCCAGTGGGGTGCAAGAAGTAGCCTTCTACCTGGCGCTGTAAGATAATCCAGCTGCGGCGCTGGCCAGAGGCCAAGCCCCGAGGGGCCACGTCAGTGAAGGTCAGGCACTGGTTGCCACAGTTGTGGAAAGAGAAGCCCGTAGTATCCAGGAAAAACTGATGCAGGGGCCTGGTGGCCTCTTTCAGGGTATTGAAAAGCAAGGTGTACTCCACTGCAGTGATGGGCCTGGAAGCCCAGGAGGGCTGTTGGCTTGGCCTCAGGGACAGTGCTCGCATGTAGGAGGGCTGTGGCAGGGGCCCCACAGCAAACTCGGTGATATTGGGGTGCTCCTGGGCCCCAAAGAAGATGATGACCCTGGCTTCCCGCGCCGGAGGCCTCTTTCCTGTTTCCAGAAATCTCAGCACATGCTGCTTTCTGGGCAGCAGTATCTCGATGAGAAACACTGAGTTCTTGGCCATAGTCAGTGTCTCTGAGGGCTGCAGCCTCAGCTCCTGGTGGGACTGGAGGAAGGTGTGCACCGTCTTCAGCTCCTGGGCACTCAGGTCCGCAAAGAGCTGTGCCTTGCTGGGCACCGTGTGTGGCAAGTGCTCTGTGATTGTCACTTGTAGAACCAAGATGGCGGTCAGGGTGCAGCTCAGGGCCAGGCTGTCTTGTCCCATTGCTCTGGAATGGAGCAGAACAGAGGGCTTAGGTGTTCTGTGAGGCAAATGGGTTTGCTTCACGCTAGCACGGTGGAGTATCATGCTTCTCAGCCTTGCAAGTTTCCTCAGCTCACGCAGCCCAGTCTGGCGGTGGCTAAGGTTACTGGGCTCCTGCATCTAATTCCCACCCAGGCCCAATCTGTGTGTCCACTGATTTTCATTCTGCTCTCCCTTTCATCTGCAATCCTCTGTGTCTTTCTTCCTTAGATCTGTGCGCTCTCTCATCTTACCCTTCGTGGATGTTATCTTAGCATGAGGTGCGCCTCTCATCCCAGGGTCCTGTGCATCAGAGCAGGCCCTGGGCCCTGCACTCCCCAGGCCACAGAGTGTTTACTGTGTTCTGCAGAGGCACGGAGCTGTACTCACAGTGAGACAAAATACCTTTTGGGAGCCCAGTTTTGAAATTTAGAGTAGAAATTCTAAGAGTAGGCGCTGGAGACAGGCTGGCTAAGTTTGAGCCCCTGTAAGCCACACCTCTATGACAAGTTGTGTGACCTTGGCGTGTTGCTTAAACTCTCTGGACCTCCATTTCTGAACTGTGAAATGAAAACAGTAAGCGCAGCATCTATCTCTGGAGTCACTGAGAGAAGGCAGCTGAAGGGTAAACAGAAGGAGTTGGGGCCTTGGAGGAAACATACACACACATATATATGGCGTATCAGCTCTGTCTCTCTCTCTGTGTCCCTCTCTGCCCTCTCATGCAGATTGAACCTAGAGTCTTTGCTACATCCCAGGTCCTTTTTGAGTGTTATATTTTGAGATAGGGTCTTGCTTAGTCACTTCACTGTCCAAATTGGGCTCAGACTTTACTCTCAGAGTGCTGAGATTACAGGTGTACACCACCGTGCCTATTCCCCCTTCTCTTTCTCTCTTTCTCTCTCTCTTCAGTTTTTTGAGGCAGGGTCTGGCTATGTAGTTCAGGTTGGTCTTGAACTCACAATGTAGCCTAGACTGGCCTTGAACTTGAGCTTCCTGCCTCAGCCTTCCTAGTGCTGGGATTATAGATGTGTACCACTGCGCTTGCCTCTGTTCTCTTTCAGGTGAATCTTGGTTTTGGACCCCAGCCCTGCAGAGTGATTCCACACAAGGAGGTCCTGGGTCTCTGATTGACTGGCCCCTTCCCACAAGTGGGTGCTTGAGTAGTAGCCCCTTGGCCATCAAAGGCTATAATGGCACATCTGGCAGCATCTGGGGTCATCCCAGGTCATGATACAGGGAGACATTCTTTCTCTTTTCCCTTTGGGAGGAGGGCATGGTCAGGCTACCAGTAAAATCTTACGTGAGTAGCTGAGGGCAGAGCTGCCTGGTGCTGGGAGGTGACTGCCACTCTGTCCTCCTTGTGTCTGGGGTGAGACCACTCACCAAAGCTTACAGTGTCCAGAGTCCCTGTTCTTGTACAGTGTGCTGGCTGCTGCAGCTGCTGGCCGCTGCTCTCTGTCAGCCCTGGTTCCTCAGGCCCTCCAACTGTCCTGCTCAGTGCCGCTGGGACCCTGTTCCTCTCCATGACATTTCTCTACAGAGAAGCTCCCCTCCCTGCCGTCATTGACTTCCCAGGGTTCCCCTTGACCTTGAGACCCCACTCAGGCTCTCTAACTGCACTTCTCAGATCCTGCAGGTGGAGCCCAGTGTCAATTTGTGCCTGAGCTATAGATGAGTAGGACTTGTAGAGGGCTTGCTTGTGTAGGTAACTGTCTTTTGTTCCCAAATCGGAAACTCTGGGTAAAATCCTGGAGAAGAAGAGGCACAGAGCAGGTCTCAGAGGTCTGTCTTGTCCAGCTTTCTCCAGGGGGCCCAAGGCGGGGCCGCAGGTGGCTTTAGATTCTGGGACGTGAGATGCATTTCCCCTAAGAACTTAGTTCTATGCCAAGTTCGTATCCTGTGCCTCCTTTCAAAGTTGGCTACAACTCTGCCTTGTCACGTCCTTTCTGGCTTTGGTCTGCGCTGATATATCTCACTTCCCCGCTCAGTGTCCCCTTTCCACTTTGATTTGCACATTAATGAGCATTTCTCAAATTGGAGGCTTGGGAAAGGTGTTTGCTGGCCTGATGAGCTGGTGGACAACGGGGAGGCACAGTGTTGCTGTTTTGGGACCTTTTGACCTTGGTCAAGTGTGGCTTGAGAAGTATTTTTCTCTGCTTTCCCAGTCCCCATACTGAGGCTCTTACATGGCTCTAGTTTTGCTCTAGGGATGTGGCCCACCCAGAGAACTCTGGGCCCTCTTAATTCCCTAGCTTGACTCTCTGGAACTGGTGGACAGGGCCAGGGCACCTGTGACCTTGTGCTTTCTGGGCCCAGCATCAGGGGAGTAGATGAGGCAGGGGCTGCTAGATGAACCTGGAGCCAGCAAGAGGATTTGAGCTGAGCTCTGGCTCTATTATTAAACTTTGTCTGGGCCTCTGTATCAGTTACCTTGCTGTTCCTGTGACAAACTGCCTGTCGGCAATTTAAAGGAGGAGAGGTTTATTTTGGCTCATTTGGTGTCAGTGTATATTTGGCTGACTCCAGGAAAGGAACATCTTGCTGGAAAAGTGTGGTGGAGGAAGGCTGCTCAATCTGTGACCTCTGAGAGGCAAGGGAAAATTTGGAGAGGAAGGGGACTGGGACTGGATAGAGTCCCCAAAGTTATGCCTTCATGACCCACCTAGACACGCCCCAAAGTGTGCCTTACTAATCTGATAGACATATCTCATACCAATCAAGCCCAAGTCTCCACATTTCTGACATGGTCCGAAGTCCAAGTCCAAAGTCTCCTCTGAGATTCAAGGCCAACTCTGAGCTATGAACTCCCATAAAATGCCAAAATCAAGCTATAGACTCCGAGAGATGATAGCATAGGGTAAACATTTCCATTCCAGAAGGGATGAATAGGGAAAATAGAAAAGAATAAGGCCAAATCAAGAACAAAAGCTATCAGGGAAAACATGGAGTCCCATTGCTTTGTGTCTGCATCAGGACATAAGGCAGTGAGATATGGGTTCCAGAGGCTGGGGGAACCTTGGCCCCATAGCCTTACCCCATAAGGCTTCTCTCTGGCACTGGCTTTCCTCTGTGAATGTTCCACATTCCTGGCATCTCTAATTTCCTGAGATCTCCACACCATTTTCTACTTTACTCCCACAATTTCACACAATTGCCCTTTGAGGGACTCTCTGTGGGGACTCTGGCCCTGAACTCAGACCTTCCTCTGAATGCTGAGTGGAAGCCCCCCATGACCTCACAACTCATGCGTGCTGCATGCTTCCAAAACCAGCTTCCCCTGTGTGAAGCTAAGGTTACTACGTTACCTACACAGGAAGGAGCCAGGCCCCCTTGGTCCACAGCTGCAGAGGTCTCTGAGTGTTTCGATGGCTAAATGTGGAGAAAAGCTTCCTTAGGCAGCCCTGAGTGAGCAGGGTGCCCTGGGGCTTTCTTCTCAAAGTAAAGTATTTTAAACAACTTTACACTTTTATACACTTGAGCCTGTGCTGATGAATGAAGTCTAGCCAATTACTGAGATGCCCTTAAAGCACCTTCCTTATTGTCCTATTGCAAAGTGCTTGGTTTCTTTCTAATGACGTCAATCTCTTTTGCAACCACATTCTCCTTAGCTCCAAATTTGCACATGTGTCTTTCCTGGCTAAACTGAAAATTTTTTGGTTCTGCGTTTTCTTTTTTTCTCCCTCCCAGTTCTCACTGTAAATCTGACTAAAATAATCCAGCAGAACCTATGCCATAGCCTGAATGTTGTACAGGCTCGAAATTTTCTCTGCCAGATTAGTCTGCCATCCTTTAACTCAGGATTGTAAAAAGTTTAATGACGTGAGCAAAATGCGGAAAATTCTTGGCCAGAATGTCACAGACATGGCCCGAAGTCCATTTCACCCCAGAGTCCTTGTTCTCTTCTGAAATTTCATGAGAACAGGCTTTGCTGTTCACTTTGTCTCTAAATCTTGCTAATTTCTCAGGAAAACCAGTTGATGAGTCTATGGCCAGGTACAGTGACAACCATGACTTCACTTCTCTGGCCTCAGTTTTCTGTACTGTCACCTTTCCATTGCAGAGACAGATTCCTGGCTTAACAATTGAAATATTTTTAAGAGACCTTTTGGAGTCACAGAAAGTTAAGCAGAAAACACCTACAGCTCCTGTATATCCCCTGTCCTTCCTTTCTACCACAGCCTCTCCCACTCTCAGCATCCACCAGAGTGGGACGGGTGTTAAAACTGGTGAATCATCAGTGGCACACTGTTATCAGCAAGTCCACAGTTCACACTGTGCATGCAGTGGATTCTAAGAAATGGATGAGAACATGTGTCACTATGTCAATATCACAGAGAATCGTACTTCCCTAAAAATCTGTACTTTGTTTATTCATCTCTTTCTCCCTGACCCCTATCAACCACTGATCTTTCACACTGATCTTCCACCCTTTGCCTTTTCCGGGATATCGTGTGGCTGGAATCCTGTACCATGCATTGTTTTTAGATGGCTTTTCTTCCTTAGTGGTAGGTAGTGAGGGGACCACTCTGTCATTTTGTGTGTCCTTATTCTACAGCTTCTTATTCCCCAATTTCTTTCTGCTGTGATATGAAGGAGGGAGAAGCAGACGTTTTATTTTCCTTTCCCAGTAGAAACTTCTGTTCCTGCATCCACGGTGGCCATGGAGCCACTGCCCACTTGGTCTTTTGTGCTGCAAGTAGGAAGCATTCTCCTCATCTGCTTCCTCACTGCGCCTTCCTGCCTCGCCCTAGAGCAGCCTGGAGCCTTCTGCTGCTGGCAGAAATCTCCAGGCTTTTATGCTTCTGGTCCTCCTTGCTTGCTGTCTTTGCTTCTCCTGCCTCTCCTGCTCCACACTTTGTCTCTGCTCTCCCCTTCCCCTTCCACCCTTTCATGTGTCCCACCACAACGTACCTGTGTGCTCTGCTCTGCTCACCTCCTGCTGACTCTTGCTCCTGGGCACTGATCCTTGACTCCTTGGAGTTTCTGGACCTCACTTTGCAGGGCGGGGCAGGTCGAGCTATGGGGCAGGTCAAGGTGAGGACTAGAGCTCAGGGGTTTCCCCAGCAGTGTGTATATGTGTGGGGGATCAGGGGCGTAGACACCTGCAACCTGTACTCCCTGTCCGATTACCTATGATTTCTGTTGTCACAGTGCTGTCTTCCGTGAGAATTGATCTTGGCTTTCTCTTTTACAAGCTGTATAGGGCTCTGGTCTACTTACATAGGTGCCACGTCTCAGAGGCAAATAGGTGGCCAAGGGGAAATTTACCAGCCGTGTGTGTGTGTGTGTGTGTGTGTGTGTGTGTGTGTGTTACCTGAGATAGACTCATGGATCAAGGCAGGGGCTGATAGGGACTGAGAGCCACAGCAAAACAGAGACTTTGACCTATGCAGAGCAGGGAGCCAGAGATGGGGCATTAGGAGAGAGAGAGGCTGCTGGGGCTCTGGAAGAAATCTCTTTCACCATCTCTGGGCACTGCGGCAGGAGTGAGAGAGGAGGGTGTGTAGCTGGGGAGGATTCTAGCCAGGGTGGCTTAGGCTGTGGCAAAGGGTGTAGCTAGAAAAGAGAAGGATGCTTGGAGCAAGAGATGCCTCTGCAGGGAGAGCACAGGCGAGCGTGGCTAATGAGGAGCAAATGAGGGTGAGCTGGGATCCTTGTTGGGAGCTCCAGAATAGAGTTAGAAAAAGTTCATGGCTTGGGAGAACCAAGGGGTCATTGTCACCTTGGTTACCAAGGTGCCATTGCTGAGGGATCGCTTCCTATTCTGTGGTTCTGTAGATTTTGCATTTCCCACCATTAATCTTTCCACTGTTGGCTTTGCCAGTCATTTCAGTGTCCAGTGGAATGAAACAATCTATAAACTCTGTAGACAGCTTGCAATTCTAGAAGGCCTGGGGGGTCATTAGGAAGGGGATTGACTTTCCCTGCTAAAGTGATGATTGCCACAATGCAAATGAAATCTTACATCTTTCATCCTTAATGTCACGGAGGATTGAAAGTTAAGTGTTCTCAATTACAGCCTCACTCATTCTGTGGAGAGCAGATGGGGTTCAGAGAAGAAGAGAGGTCCAGGAACAATTGACTTTGAGAAGTTGCATCTGTTTATGTTCCCAAAGGACAATTTTGCTGGCCTGAAAGCAAACTAAAGGAAGATTTTGGCAAAGATTAAAAGTGAAAGGGCCACATGTAGAACAAGGGACCTTACTTCACACACAACCTGGGGCTCCAAATGGATCAAAAACCTAAATGTAAGAGTTAAAAGCATTGAGTTCTTAGACAAACGCAAATCTTGATCTTGGGTCTGGAAAGGGCGTCTTAAGCATGTCCCCTAAACACAAAAGTTAAAGAACCCCCCCGCCCCACAAATTGAGCATCATTAGTATGGAAACCTGCTTCACTTGGGAAGAAATCAATAGGAAGGTGAAAAGGAGGTCCTCCGATGGGAGAAAATATATGTAAATGGATGGCTGAAAAGGGAATTGTATCTAGACTGTATTAAGAATTTAGAACTCAATAATAAAAAGACAGCCCACTTAAAAAAAAGTGGGCTGAGGGTGTGGCTCAGTGGCAGAGAAGTTGCCTAGCATGCACGGGGCCTTGGTTTAAATCTCCAGCACCACACACACACACTCACACAGAGGGCAAAGGATTTGAACAGACATTTCTTGGAGGAAAACACAAATAACCAGCAATCACATGAAAAGATGTTCAACACCATTTGTTGTTAGGGAAATGAAAATCAAGCCAACAAGAACATTCAAAATCTTAGCTACTGTTTTGAAATATTCAGTTAATTACCATCACTATAGTTTTCCAATGCTGCTACAGAACATTAGGACTTATTCTCTTATCCAGCAACACCCCTGGACCTATGAACTGTCTTCTTTCCATCTTCTAGTTTTTCCTTCCCTTCTCAGACTCTGGTAACCACTATTCTGTGCTCTACTTCTGTAAGAGCAACATTTTAGCTGCTTTGTATCAGTGAGGACATGCAATATTTGTGGTTTTGCACCTAACTTATTTCACTTACTATAATGCCCTTCAGTTATATCCATGTTGCTGCAAAGGACAGAATTTCTAAACACAAAGAAACCGCAGTGTCTACAGTGATGGATATGTGAGTTCTGTCGCAGTCACATTGTAAATGTGCACTGAAATCTCTCACCCTACTCCCTAGACAGGTATAATTACCATGTGTCAAAATAAAACTATATACTATGAAAATACAATGAGTTGTCACTTTGCATCCACTCAGATGAGGAGAGTGAGAAAGTAAATAATAGCAAGTGTTGCTGGGCGGTGGGGAAATCCAGCTCTCCCACACAGCTGGCGGTGATGTAAAATGAGGAGTCAGTTTGGAACACTGGGAGTTTCTCCAGTGACTAAATGCAGACTTTCCATATGATCTAGCAGTTCCACACTTAAGTAAATACCCAAGGTAAACAAAAGCATATGTTCATTCAGAAGCTTTTATGGGACTGTTTATAGCAGTGTTATTAAACAATTGCCAAAAGGTGAAAAAATCCAATGTTTATCAGCTGTATTAAATGGATAAGAAAGTGTGGTAGATTATATGATAAAAAATTACTCAGCTAGAAATGAGCTATGCCTACATGCTACCCCATGGACGGACTTCAAAACCAGTGTGTTAAATGAAAAACACTTGTTACAAAAGATCTCTTTGCATATGATTCCATCTACTTGAAATGCCCAGAACAGGTAAATCTGTAGAGCCCATCAGAAATGTGACAGTGACTGCTGAAGTCTGAGGTGGCACTGGAGGGACAGGGTGGGAACTGATAGGCTGAGGCTTCTTTCTGAGGTGACATAAGTGTTCTAAAATTGACCAGCAATGGTTGCTCACATATTTGGCTACACTGACATCCAGTGACACGTACCCTTGTAAATTTAAGTGATCTGTAGGGTAGGTAAATGACGTCTCCATAAAGCTGTTCAGTAAAAGGTAAAAGGACATACGTCTAGAACACAGAAAGAAGTTCTACAAATCTACCAGAAAGAGGCAGTGGTCTCCATGGAAACCTGGGTTAAAGGCAACTACGAGAGAGGAAACCCAAAGGGCTAATGGGTCCATGGAAAGATGCTCAAGTGGTTATTGGTGTTTCCTGGGAAAATGCAAACCATTCAACAGTGAGATATAAAAGAAAGAACTGGATGCTGCCTAGTGGAGATGGAAGGGGATAGAAAACTGGTGTGACTTGTGGGCAGGGGAAGTGGGCGGACAGCCACTGTGCTGTGCAGTTCCCAGGATGTAGGCAACGATATGGTTGTATATCTTACAGCTCAGCAGCTCTGCTTCCTGGTGGACATGTCAGAAATATTCTCACACAGACCCAGGGGTAGAAAATGTACATGAGTTGCTGAGATGGAGAGCTAGTTGTCATCAGGACCTACAACTAGGTTAGAGTCAATGTGCTCCATGCAGCTTTGATGCAAAGACATGATATTCACACAGTAGTTCACGTGAGTGGTCCTTAAAATTATGGGCTGGGGGATGAATGGTAAAGTGTGACGCTGTCCCTCAGATTAAAACACACACATACAAAGTCGCCTGGACATTTTAAGGACTGATACACACACAAAAATAACATTAAATATATTGGAATGGTGTCCTGGTAGAGGCAGGAGTGGGAATACATACATACATACATACATACACATATACACACACGCATGTATACACACATACATGCAAAAGGCAAGAGGAGCCTTGTGTACATAGATCTCTGGAGCACAGAGGCCTCCTGGAATTGAGGCTGTGCTTAGCAGCTGATACCCCTAATTAAATGCAAGACCAGCCTGGGAAGACAGGCTGGGTGACCACAGATGGTCACACACAATTAGATGGCTGCTGAAGCAGGAGCCACTGAGGTCTCACCCTCAGAGGCTGGGGGTGGGAAGGGAGGGGAGTTGCTGGGGTGTACAGTGAGAGCTCCTTTCTGTACTGAAAGAGTAGAGAAGAAGTGTTTTATTGCAAGGTAGCATAGGCTAAATGCAACAGGAGTGATCCATCAGAGCCTGTCTGCAGGGCAGGGAAGCAGATACCCTGAAGACTACAAGCTCCCAAGTCCCCTTTGCTTTCTCCTCCGTGGGTTGCAGGAAAAAGACCACAGACTGGGGGCTTTAGGTGACAGACAAAAATTCACTCACAGTGCTGGAGACTATAAGTCTGAAATCAAGGCATCGGCAGGACTGTGCTCCCACTGAAGCTTGCAAGGAGAGTCTCTTCTTTACCTCTTCCAGCTGCGGATGCTATCGCGTTCTGTGGTGGCCCCACATTCCTTGGTTGCTTGATGTGGGAAGGGCTCACTCTACCCTCCGCCTCTGTCCTCACCTGGTGTCTTCCCCTGCCACTCTGTGTCTCTTCTATTCTTATAAGGAAACCAGTCGCTGGATTAAGTCACTCCCATCCTACACGATCTAAGTATTCATTAGCAACATGCGTGCTTCCAAATAAGGTCACATTCTGAGGGCCTGGAAGGCCATGGGTTTGGGAGAGACACTATGCAAACCTGCAGACCCCCTGTGTGTACCTCAAAGCACAGCGCCTGCAGGGAGTAAGTCCCAAGGCCCTGCTGTGCAAGGGGTGCTGCAGCCCTTAGCATCCTCAGTAATGAACTAGTACAGGTCTTTGGGGTATCAGCACAGGACTCTCTGGGCTGGAGGTAGGTGGTGGCAACGTCACAGAGCGGGGCCAGGAAGGAAGTGTTCCTCAAGAGAATCAGTGAACTCTGTGTTACTGGGAAAAACAGTTTGTGACTCAGGTTTGTGGATATGGCAATGGACATATAAGAGCCTGGGATTCTCTCTGTTTTTCTTGGCTCACTGTGCTGTGTTCCTGGCATCTGATCCCTCCCTAGCATAAGTGACCTTGATTTATGGGGTCCAGCTCCTCCCTTCCTGGGGTTAATGATTGGTGACAGTTACAGATAACAGTTGGGCAAAGAGACAGACAAGGTTGCCTGCCTTCCCTAAAGGGACAGAACTTAGGAGTATGGGATGCGACGTGCAGGGAGACACAAGTCATGACGCAGTCTTGGGATAAGGTGGTTGGAGATTTCCTCTCGCAGATGTCCCATGGCCAGAGTAGGATATTTTTATTTCACAAGGTCACCACCCATCAAGAGATCAGTTGAGCCAATCTAGAGAGAAGGATTGTTTCTATAGAATTATGGGAGAAAGGCAGCCACTGCTGCCTGGACCATGGCTGGCTAGTCATGGCCCACGTAAGGCACTGGACTGGATTTTTATGTGAATGAAACCAACACTATGCGCTTTGTTTTCTGGATTAGGGAAGACTGATTTGCAAAGAGAAAAATTGAACTATTTTCCCCAAACAGAACCCTGGCAGGATCCAGAGGCCATTCCATCCTCATGCAGCAATCTCCACGAGCCTATCCCGATTCCACCATTGGGATAGGGTTGTTCTTGAGAAACCTTAACAAGTATTTATGGAGTACACACTCTGTGACACATTAAAGTAAAAAAAATGCATGGGGCTCACATTTTACTGAGGAGAGGTGGGCATTAAATAGTATGAAGCACACATATATAGGCCCATGAGTTAATAAAGCAGCCCTAGCTGGGCGTGGTGGCACATGCCTGTAATCCCAGCACTCAGTAGGCGGAGGCAGGAGGATCATTGTGAGTTCAATACCAGCCTGGGTTACAAAGTGGGCTCAAGGCCAGCCTGAACTATGTAGTGAGACCCTGTCACAAAATGACAATAAACAAACAAACGAACAACCTCCCAAACCCCCCAAAACCCAGAAAACAGGCCTAGCCTCCAGACTGACACTTGGGAACTTGACCTTCAGATGTCCCCTGCCTTCCCAGTCTGCTTAGACCATTTTTGCACCAACAGCATGGACTACAGATACATTTTTCTCTTTTGAGAATCTGGAATCCTGGGATCGGGGTTGGCAGCCTGCAAGTGTTGGTTCCTACGTGATCAGCCCTAACCCATCTTTACGTCTGTGTTTCACAGGGTGTGCTGGGTTCAATCAAGAGAGAGCAGAACAAGGCCCTTCCAGGCTCTCCTTGGGTGTCCTTTCCCTTTGCTGACCACCTCCATCCCACCAGAGTTCATGCTGTGTCTTGGCCATAGGTAGCACTATCTGCTTGGCTAAGTGAGGCTTGCAAATGTAGGTAGCCTTGGGTCTTTGACAGCTGAGCTGTGCTAAATGATATCTTAGTTACTTTTCTTGTTGCTGAGTCAAAATACCTAACACTCAGAATTAAAGGAATAAAGGTTTATTTTGGCTCATAGTAGAGCTTTCAGTCCATAATCAACTGGCTGGTTCTTACTGTCCACATCCTTCAGGGTCCTGGTCTTCCGAACTCTGACTAAAATCACCCACCAATCTCTGTTTACAGGATTCTATCCTGCAGCTCCAAACCTTTCCAAACTCCTCCCATAAATCAGTTCCAAAGCTTCTAAATCACACGGTCAGATATGGTCCCCAACAATCCCTTTCTCTAGTACTCAGTTTCTGTATTAGCTCTCTGTTACTCACAACTTAAAGGAGGAAGAGTTTGATTTAGCTTATGACTTAGGGGATTCTGTCTACTGTCAGCTGACTCCAAAGCAGGACTATCACTGTAAAAGGGCAGGAGAATAGTGCCATAGAGGAATGGGCGAAGAACTCAAGGGCACACTGCTATGACGCACTAGATCATACCCAAGAGTGTTCCCTATTAACCTGCTACACATTTTATTAGTTATGGCACTATTTTGCCCTTTTACCAGCTGCCATGAACTGAGCAGCTTAGCCACTGGGCCTTGTGCAGTGATACTCCTGCTTTGGAGCTAGCTGACAGTAGACAGAATCCCCTAAGTCATAAGCTAAATCAAACTCTTCCTCCTTTAAGTTGTGAGTAACAGAGACTGTGTCTGGCAACAGGAAAACTAATACAGAAACTGAGTACTAGAGAAAGGGATTGTTGGGGATCCCATTTGGCTGTTGGATTAGCAGGCATGCATATGACACTTTATCAGCAAATTTGTCCACATTTTGCCTGTGTTCTGAGACTTTGCAAGAGATTGAGATCAAGGTTGGTAGACTAATTAATGCAGTAAGAGAAACTTTAAGACAGCCCTCAGGGTGTAGCATGGGTATCTGTGGTACTTCTAGCCAGAGTGGTGCCAAGGGCAAAAGGCAGAACAGAAAAATTCGAAAAACTTAAATTTTGGCACAGAAGGAACAATGTACAAAATTGGGGGCAAAGTAGGTGTGGTTTCTAAGAAGATTAGCATTACTAAAAGGAAAGAAGTAGTTTGTAGAGGGCAAGAAGAAAGACGTCTCAAGGGAATCTCAGGAAGCGGCAAGACCCCACCCTCGGCAGGCTCAAGGATACAAATGTGCTGACTTTTCATTTGAGAAGTAAGTCCCTGGGACCCCTGCTTGAGAAGGGCCTCCTTGGAAATTTGTTCCTGGGGATTATTTTCATCCTGCCTAGCTATTTATGCACTTGGAGGATGATAGCCCAGGAGACACTGGCTAGTGATTTGTAACAGCCCACCCTGGTTGGTTTTATTGGCATGAAGAATGAAAGGGTTGTAGAGTCAAAGAGGCTTCCACCCTGATTTCATAGAAAGGCCTGGAAGGCCAGGTAAGGAGCTCCTGGGAGGGAATTTCACGTAGCTAAAGGGATGAGGTGGTAGGTTTGGTGGACATTCCAGGAAGTCAGAGATGCTAGGAGTGTGGAATATCAACTGAGGAAAGTTGTAGACAGTGAGTGAAGTGACCCAAGAGAAAGATTATGTGGGCTCAAACTGGCAAGGCCATAGGACTAGGGCCACGCATGCCCTTTGAAACTCACATTTTACCATTGTTAGAGTTTTCTGGTGCAATAGAGAAGCGAAAAGCATGGAAAGGAGCACACAACCCACGCAGTTGTGCTATCTCCTTCGATGGATACAGAGAGGTAGGGGGTTATATGGCCTCTGATCAGAAGCGGCACATAGGGTGGGCATTGATGATGTGTGAGGAGATGATTGGTATTTTCTTTGTGTGCAAACAGGAAGGGGAGTTGCAGTTGGGGCTGAGGAAGAAGCAGGAAGTGGTAAGCATTCCCACTTTGGCCTTCTGCCATGGCAGACCACAGCCATAACTGTACAGCAGTTTGTACAGGGGCAAGAACGTTTCAACCACCATGTACTCTGAATGCTGAATCAGGAGGTTCGAGATTTAATGTGTGTCCTGCTGGGTTTCAGTCTTGCTTTGATTTGATTATTTTCTATTCACCTATTTCTCCCTTTTGAAATGGGATTGTTTTTACCCTGTGCAATGGCACGATGGAATTACATAACTTAATTTCTGTTTTTACAGAGGCTCACAGATAAGAGTTTGCCTCGAGTCTCAGAGAAGACTTGGGCTTTTGAAAAATGCTGGAACAGTTGAGCCTTTGGGGGAGGAATTACTGCATTTTTTGTATGAGGAGGCATATTATAACATATTAGGCAGAATTACGAACTTGCTGTTGTCTTTATTTGGAGATTAAATATGGTTTAAAGAGATGTGTTTGGGTCTGAACTTGACAAGGGATGAATTGTGACTGTTAATCTTGATGTGGCCACTTCATTGGGTTAAGAAATGCCTAGCAGATTAGTAAGTAGTGTGTACTCCTGCTGTGTTTTGGTGTGATCTGGGATACTATAGCTGTACTTTCACCTTTACCTGCCTAGTGTTTTGTTGTGTCTGGTGGGTTATATGCTGAGCCCCTGGAGCATGCAGCTACTGTGATTCTAAACTCAGCACCCGGAAGGAATTAAGGAGGCAGAGTTTCAAAAAAGGGGAAAAGTATTTGGAAAAGGGCAGAGAAAGAGGAGATTAGGCGACTTTCCTGGAAGAGTAGGGGCATCAGAAAGGTGAACATCCTGGAGCCCTTATCTTTGCTCCTTTTATTTAGGATTTGTGATTCTTCCCATGCCCATATTGTACCTGGAAGTTGTCACCATCTGATTGGCCCTTTGGCTGTCTTTAATCCTAACCTGAGCACCTCTGTCTACATTCTTTTTGGCTGTTTGGTTCCTTCCTCTCCCTTTGTGATGGGCAAGTGTGTGTATATGTGGACACTTTATAGAAAGGCAGCTTGGAGTTAATGATTAAGTAGGGGATGTGTGTGTATCTGGTGGAGTAATATAGTGACATTAAACTGAGAATGTACATATATATATGCATATAATATATACATGTGTGCGTGTCTGTTATATATTAGAAAAGAATCCTTTATGTTTCATTAGTGATGGGTGAGGGGGGCTGGTTTCCCTGGTCTTTTAGGTTTCTGGCTTCTTTCATGCTTTGTTAACTCTATCTGATAAATACTTACAGTCACTGTGTAACCTGGAGCCTTCATGGGTCTGGTTTTCACTCCTCCTTTATTTTTCTAATTGCTCTAATTGTAGAAGAGTTTAACTGTAGAAGCAAAAGCTGCTTTAGTAAGATTTTCTATTAATTTTTTGCAGGGGAGGGGCAGGGTCTTAGTATGTATTTCAGATTGGCCTTAAACTCACTGTGTAGCCCAGGCTGGCCTCAAACTTGT